TGAGATGAGGATGTACTAATATATATCTCTGGAAGGAGGGCATTATTCTGACTGCCATCCTTCTTATTATCATTATGTTTCTTTAGGAATGGATGAAGATAGATTTGTCTAGTGAATTGTTACTATAATTATTGTAATTTTCATCATGGCAAGATCATGGTTGAAAGGTGTGGTCTGTATTTGCAGAAATGGCCACAATCCTCTCTTTCCTACAGCCACACTTTGTGGCATCCCCTCCCGCGCTGACTCATGGTTTGACCACGTGACATGGTTTGGCCAATGAGAAATAACAAACAGGATGTAAACAGATGCTTGAAAGATGCTTGCACACTGGGATTTACCCTCTCTTGCTATTCTTTAAATAGCTCTTTGACTACCATGAAGATGTCCAAGTGAATCTATTGAGTGATGGGATACATGTGACCCAGGCATCTTTGTCATCAAGCCAATAGCTAGCAGTGGCAAGCAGCACCAATCAATCAACAGCACAAGCCACCAACATTTAAGATAGATCACCTTAGACCATCTAGTCACCAGCTGAGCTGCTGGAAACCACAGGTGCATGAGGAAGGCCAGCAGTGTGGAGATAAGCTGGACCAGACCAGGACTGCCCAGATACGCAATAGAATTGTGAGCTAATTAGGATGTTTTGGAGGTGGTCTGCTAGGTAACAGAAGTTAATTAATGCATGAGTGACAGGTAAAAAGCAAGCCAAAACCAAGAACAAGGTTGACTTGAAAGCAAATTCAGTTGCTAGAGAACTGTGGTGAAGACTCCCTTAAAGACAAATCATAGACATAGAACTTTTGGGAGAGATCCTACTCATAGAAACAGCTGAACACATCTAACCCTCTCCTTCCTCTCCACCTTTATGCTCTCAGCTCTGTTTCATTCACCGGCAAACACCCTGCTCCAATAATCATTTTCATCTGATGGTACGATGTTATCCTCAAAGAGCTTAACCATCCCCTAATCTGATGCTCCTGTTTTATTTAATAGAAAGCTCAAGCCCAAAGGGATGAATTAACTTGCCTGTTTCACTTACATTTAGCTTATATTACCTTTGTTTTCAATGAAACAAAGATACTTCTTAAACACTTCTGAAAGCGCAACAGTATCTTACTTGCGGGAGAATGTTGTGTTCCCTTTTCTTCTCCTTCCTGCATCTTCTGATGGATGGGTGAACCTACAGCCAGAAGCTCAGTGGCAAAGAAAGAGTATGACTCTTCCACAGTCAGCATATCCAGGGAGACCTGTCTTTGAAAGGATACCTTTGCCTCCGTCCTGGAAAAAATGAGCCAGAGATGAAAGATGCCATCAGCATGGCCTTACCAAAGAAATAGACAGTTTTGCTAGTTGGTCTTAACGATTGTTCCCTGGTGCCATTAAAGAAAAGGTAATGCAAAGCAAAGCAAAGTTGTGTGCATTTAGAAGGGCTGAAGGTGAGCCAGGTCTCTGAAATGATGTTACCAATCTTTTGGGAGTGACTCACCTTCTTGGTGGACTGTTTTTAAAGGGGGATGACATGTATGTTTAGAAATAGTAAACTCTTTCACCAACAGCTCCCCGAGACCTAGTAGACTGATATGGTTTGCAAATTCAGAAGTGATGGAACTCGCCTGATAGGTACCAAGCATGCGGCTGCCTCCTTGATATGATTGAAAGGCTATTGCTTTTTGACTGAGCTACCTTTAAATAACAGACGGTTGTTCTTGGAATACCAATCAAGTGCTTTCTATGGCAAATGCATATTGCTCTCAGTTCAGTTCTGCCTTTTCTCTGCCCCAGTCCACTTCTAATCACCATGAAATAGCACTCTTATTCCTTAAAGCCACGATAAAATGTAATTGGAAAGAAATCTTTAAAAGAATAAAACCTAAGGAAATTGTTTTTGTAAGATGTGTCATAAGGCGTCATTTATTAGGACCTTAACAAATGATCTTTTTTTTTTTTTTTTTTGGTGTAAATTTCATCCTTGCACTAGGTATAAAAGAAAGGCTTGTTATAAAAACTGGTAAACAGATGCTAGGAGGCCTGAGTAACCTACAACACTTAAAAGAACAGACTTTTGAAACACTTGGAAGTAACACCAAGTTAGGAAAAAAATATGCCAATGAAGAGGCTTTTATTTGTAAATTAAGTGCAATTAGATATATATTTATCAATGCATTGTTAGTATAGTTTGGCACTTTGGGGCAGTGCCATGAATTTGCTTTACAATATTCTATAATTTCACCTTGCTAGCCCAAATTGCTAAGATTTCTGCTGTATTTAGTTATTTTTAGGGAGAACGTTCTCAGCAAAGTTTTCTTTTTTGCTTAAGACTGTAGTCGGTTCTCCTAAGTAGAAAATGGCTGCTGAGTGTGCGAAAAGAGTACAAAAGACTTCAGCAGGAAGACACTACTTACGATCATTTGAAATCCTCCATCCCTGGAAAATTCTCCAATTAGGCTTATGAAAGCAATCCAATTTAGTAGGCTGCTAATTGGACAGAGCACAATCTTACTGGCAGGGCTGGAACTTGGGCTGCAGTTGTCCTTGGCTCTTACCTTCTCTTAGTAGCATCCCAGGAGTCCTCCACGGGTCCTGGAGCTTGTCCTCCAGGAGGGCCTTCATTCCAAGGGCAGGACCCTGAGCAGTGCTCTCATGAGGCTCCATCAGTTTTAGCATTCTGGCAAACTGGTCCATCACCATAAAAGGTACCAAATCTAAGATCAGAGGGGTTTATGATGGGTTTACATGATTTGTTTTACCATAGATTAGCTAAAGACCCCGATGTCTTAGATTTTTTTCTACACTACCGTGCAATGAGTAGAAAAAACATTAGTGCCTTCATCAGCTGAGGGGTTTTGTAAGATGATTTTCAGGAATTTGATGTCTGTCTAAGGGTTTGCATGTCTCTTTTTCTGTTCTCTGGTCCCTCTCACTCCCCTGGGACTCTTGTTCCCGTTTGTACAATTATAATTGGAATTCCCTGGCTTCCAAAATGATGTAGTTTTAACTTTATAATCCAGCAGAGACTTCACCATTGTTTAAACAGTTTTTTTTCCTCTTTGCAGTTTGAATTGTTTTACAAAACTGTATGGTGCCACCAAGCCTCCAGAAGAAATGCAAAGTTTTCATAATATAAAAGGAATAACTTATTAAAGAGAATCCTAGTGGATCTATTGTAATGAGCTGTAGATGTCCCGAGAGGTTGGTTGCCAGTTTGATGACAACAGGAAGCATTTTCTTAAACATGGAGGTTTGAAGCCTCCAGTGGAAATGTGCTCTTAAGTCATAGGATTTTTATTTCTACCTAGTTCAGTCAGCAGTGGCTCTGGCTGTTTCTCTCTCTCTCTTTTTTTTTTTTTAGTGAAATGAAACCTGCCTCTATAAACATCCTTCTAGGCCAAGTCTCCTGTTTTAGGTCTCTGTGAGGAGGCTCCCAGGTTTAAAACAATTCTCAGTTATTTAACAACTGGAAATTGCAGCACTTTTTATCCTGTGTGTGATGAAGAAATACTTGCTTCCTGAGCTAAAAACAACAAATTATAAAAGTCAGCTCAATTCAAATAGAATCTTATAATCAACTCTGATATACACTGTCGGTAGCAGCACCAAAGTTGGGGACAAATTTGGACTATAAAAGATTGTCACTGAAAAATTTCTATTCATTACTTTAAAAAATTTCTGTGAGTTCAGGAAAAGAATGCCATTTTCCTATTTTACTGGTGGAACACCTAGGATAAGTTTCTGAAATATCAGTGTTCCAGTGGGGCATACTTTGACATAATGGTATAAAATTGTATGAACTATATGGTGCTCTGGGAAGAGTTATAATAAAATTAATGATAATGTGTGATTATCTTGAGTGTGGTATTAACACAGTTTGTTCTGATGGTTAGCTGGGAGTTGAGGCATAGGGAAATCTGATGCTATGTTCCTTATATTTGATTACATTCACCCCTTAAAGGAGAATGACTGAGATTCAGACACAAGACCTTCTCTTTTCAGAGTCACTGAATAGTGAGTGAGAAGCTGGACTGTCAGTGTGTGCTGGTGTCATGCCTATTCCATGCTGAGAAAACAACATCACTGCTAATTGAAACGGCAGAGATGATTACCAAGGCTGTAGCTTGAGAAAAATATATATCAACACTGAAGGGGAAAGGGCTATTTATTTAGAAAAGTTCACCGTCAAATTACTGGACAGGATGAAAAATTCATGGAGCAAATCAACACTTAGTACAATCAAAAAGGAATCCATTGTAATTTACTAGGCACTGTCAATGTGAACAAAACTCCCTCAAATATCTTCCACTGGATAAGCAACCATGATTGTGAAAAATCCATCTCTTTCTCTCTCTCTTTTTTTGGTTGATACCTCTTTCCAAGGTTTTCTGCATTATATTTAAGCATAAGACAGGGTATCTGATGTTAGCGAGCACCCAATTTAGCATTAACTTCTCTGGATGGAAATCGGAGCCATATGTTTATGTTAGTAATAGCAATACTATGTAATTTGATCATTTTTGAGCAGGCTGATGTAGTTTTATCTTAAAGAGATAAAGAGGGAGAGCTCCTTAAAGAGGGAGCTCTGAGAGTTCGTATTTATTTTTGAAGCTTTGGCAGCTTTCAGTATAGAGGCTACACAAATTTTCTAATCTAATTTAATTTCTCTATTGGTCTAACTGGGTTCAAATAAAACTGTGATTCTTCTATGCTTTGATTATGTTAAAGTATTTCTTGTCTGTCTCCCAGCACCAGAAGCAATTTTTTTAATTGTTAAAAGTTGTAGCAGAAAAGCACTACTGCTCTTTGTGGTGGCTTCTATACTAGATTTCTGGATGGTTGAGATATTTTTTAAAATATAGTCAACCTCACGTCATAACTGCATTGTCACAAGGGTACAGAAACTCAATGGAGAAGGGCATCTTTCCAAGTGCTCTTGTGTGTACATAAACAGCTTTGACTTTGGGAGCCAGCAAGGGGCATGTAAGACAAATGAGTAAAAAAAATTGCACATAGAGTAATTTTAATCCATTCCATTTTTTAAATACCACAATAAATTTAATTTCCACAATAAATTAAATAGCCATATTCAGTTTACAAAATAGAATTACTTAGTGTGAAAGCAGTATTTACAACTATATACAATATGTACATGACATTTCTCTTTGTTGACATAGAACATGGAAGCAAAAGGACTCAACTTTCCGACGTGTGATTGACATGCTACAAGTGACACCATGATCCATACGAGAAAACAATAGTGCAAAATCACCACGGGAACTTTGGAATGATGTCAATTTTATGAGCTAAGACATTCTTTTAAATAATAAGAAAATAGTATTTTCTGTTTTCATGGCATCAATTCAGCAACTGAATTAAAGAGTCAGCTTTCCCTTAGAAAAGTATGCATAACTGAATCCTCTACTTCCTGAAACTTCACAGCCATTGGTACATTTTCACATGTTCATCTTTTGGCTTAAATCTATGAAAATGGCAGGTGACAAATCCTGACTCGAAGGAAGACTAACTCTTTGAGAATAGCTGAAGTCACTTTTTCCCAGTACCACCACCTCTTCTTTTTGTAAATAGCATAAAAGATGCAACTATGTAGACTGCAAATTGGTGTTTTGTTTTGATTTTGTAAATTTTCAGTAGAAAAAGAGCTGATCTTATATTTGGTCACACACTGCATATGTACAAGTATACATGGAAAAATGACGTGGACAGTTGTGTCTAGGAAAAGTGCATATTTTAATCTAGAAGAGACATTGTCTGTCTCCAGGCACAACACACAGTGTTGCATGACGCATTATTTTAGGGCCAGTTCAATGTCCTCCCAGTGATCTGGTAAAATTTTTGATTGAAAGGGTGAAAGAATTTGCGCAATTTGGTAATGACAGAGGGGTCCACCTCTGGATGAATGCGCCCCTTGCTACCCGCCAGGCACTTGTTAAAGATAATGTTAAATCGCAAGCAGTAAAACCCTCTGGTAGCATTGAAATACAAATTGTATTGACTTATCCTTGGGGGAAGATTTAGGAACTTCTCCACAAGTTGAAGTTCTGGTAGGGGTTCCGTGATGAGGCGATCTCCATCAACAATGTGGAATTGCTCAATTGGAAAGTACTTCAACCACCTTTCCAGATGTTTGGTGTAGATGCTGGTTCTTACTGCCTTGTATTTCGTATTCACTTCGCAGGTATTAGGGTCTATGGCCAGCTTCTCAAACTTGTAATAAGTTTTATTCTTCCTCTCCTTCCCCTCTAGCACCTGAGTGTAATCAGAAATAGCTCTTGTGGTTGGCTCCCTGACAATGATCAACAACTTGATGGATGAGTTCATTTTGTAAATCCTTTCCGGAACCTCCTCCGTGATAAAATATGCTGGACTCTTTTCAATTGTGATTTGCTGAGGGTAGGAAAAAGGCATCTTTTTCCTATACCACTCAATGCCCTTGGCATAATTCTCATCATTGTCAAAAAAGTGGATTTCTTGAGAGGCTTTGACCACTGCTGGATGGAGGTTCAGCATCTCAAGCAGGGCCCTGGTGCCTCCTTTCCTCACTCCAATGATAATGGCCTTGGGAAGTTGCTGGACCAGGTCATGAAGGTGTACCTGCTCCTTGGAAGAGTTGCCCTTCCGGAACTCGTGCAGCAGGCCACGCTTAAACTGTAGGGCGCGCAGGGGGAATTCAGCCTGGCCACGGGCTCCGAATCGGCCTTCGATGGGGCAGATGGGTTGTAGCCTGTAAGCAACAGAGAGACACTCTAAGGAGCTCATTGCAACTAACTTCTCATTTCTCTGGTTCTCCAGTCAGAGCAAGACTTTAAATGCATAAATAAAACCATTGTTCCCTGCCTGCTGCAATCTATAATCAACATATGTTTGGGAAATTTTATTTTAAGCAACCCTGTATTAAATGGAGCACACATAATTGATGGGATATTTTTATTAGTGCTTCTTTAAATTTTTATTCACCAAGCACTTAATTGACTACAGCGTGTACTGACATTCACAATACAGGACAGACAAGTGACACCAGCCATATTAATAGCCTTTTAACAGCTCACCAGTTAACATCATTTAGAAAATATGAAAGATGGAAGATGAGAATCGTCGGCTGGGGGGCTAAAGTGCAGCTAGGAGGCCACGGCCTGTGGGTTTCCTGCGGCATTATTTTATTACAGCTCAGCTGCCCTCATATGACTCTGAAAACCTTTGAGACAGACTCTGAAAAGAGGTCCCAGTTTCTGCTCTTGACTATTTGCATCATCAACCTGCAAAATTCCAATCTTGGCACTTGCTGAGCTTTACATTCTATGAGAATTTCTGCCTTTGGCCCTGGGGACAGCTAGCAGAGTACATATTTCTTCTGCCTCTCTCTCTCTTTCTTTCTAAAAAGGTCAGGCTTATGTTTTTACTTTGCTGAATGTAGGAGCAAATCCAATGCAATCAGCAAGTGCTGTATATCACCTATCACACCTGGGATCAGAAATCAACAAGTCCTTGGCAGCCCTAGAAACCTGAGGTCCTCATTGCCAAGTGCACTTAAATCAGGGACTCAAATTTGTGAAGGAAGGAAGGCATTGGATGAAGCCAGAATAGAGGATTTCCACTTCAACATTGCCCTAAGCAAGGAACAACCACTGCTGCTTTTTTTCAGAGAGAAAGGTGTGGTAACAATCACAATATTAGACTGGAGTGGCTATTTAATTTGGTGTGGCCAATTTATATGGTTAGTAAATTGAATTTCCTTTTGGGGATAGTCTAGAATTGAACTGAAATTCATTATAATTTTCCTGAGTTTACTTGAGAAGGCATTTTCACTTTCTCATTAAAGGGTATAGTGTTAGTCAAAACGGCTGTTAAACCAGTTCCTCCAACTGAAGCTTCTTGTTACCCTAATAATTTGGAGTTGATCTCCTCCTCTCTGTAGGGCAATGAGGCTGTCTCTTGCTTTTCCCAAGAGACCCCACTGAATCTTTTTTATTTTCTGTAATGTTTACAATTAAAAGGAGAAGGGAGAAACCTTAAGGTTATACCAAGGCATTCTGCAGAACTGAGGGGAAGGGGCTTCACCTGTGCTATTGAAGCAGCTCTCTGTTTTGATGCTTATGAACATATTTTATTTTTCAGTGAGTTTTTGTTATGATTTTATAAACAACTTTTGCTCATTGTGTAAAGCATGAACATATAGCACACTATTAAAAACATGGTTTATCAGCTAATATTTTAGAGAAAATGAATTTTGTTTTTATAAATCTGTTAATAGGGTTGATATGCTAGAGCTCTAAGTGGAAGATATAAAAGTAGCAATACATATGTACTCAAAGTATGTTTTTAATTGTGACATTGATTGGGATGTTACAAATTCATGTTTTAGGTCTTGCTGGGCTCTAGTTGAGAATTAAATCCAAATTCCGTAAGCCATCCATTGAATGTAATAGATGGACTTTTCTCCCAGGCATCTTGAATGATGCTGTCCTTGAGAGAAGTAAGGAAATGGTCAATCAAATGTTTTCCTGTAGGACTTGATTCTCTCACAGAACCCAGGTTGAGAGAGCCTGAAACACTCTCTGCCTTGTTTGAACTGGAAAGAAATTTTCCTATATCTAGAAAAGGCCATTTTCTTTCTTTCCTTTATTTACCTTCTATCATGGGAGCTCATTCCCCACCGAACGATTGCTTTTTGCGTTCCCTTATTTAAGATAAGAGAAAATATCATATTATTTCTGATTCCTAGAGAGCAGGCATGGACCCCAGACTGAAAAATCAGAAATCTTAGGATTGGAAAGGACAGTAGAAGTAACTGAGTTCAGCCTCTTACCAAGAGAGCAGGCTTTTCAGTTTCTAAGGACAAACTTATGTCAACATGTGCCAGTTTCTGCTCAGACTTGCAAGTGAGAGGTTTTGAGAAAGCAAAGCAATCCAAGTCCTTATAAAAGCCACCTCATTAGAGACTCGAGACCAGGTTAAAAATGAAAATTATCAACTAAATAACTAATGTGCTAATGATCATTAGATCAATTATTAAAAGCAAATGATTAGAAAAAAATTAAAATATTAGGAAGAACTTGATATAAAAGTTCCATTATGGACACAGGACAATGGCACCCTGTCAAGGCTTTTCACTAACAACAAGCACTACTTTACGAGTCAGTGATAAGCTCTGGGCTATATCATTTCCCATGGTTAGCAACTAGTGAATAGGAAGTTTACTCAGGAATTTTGAATTGAAAAACATCAAAGGGCTCATTTTATCAATCAAAATTAACACTGGCTGAAGGAAAAAACCATTATTACTTGTTAAATATTTGTGTGATAAGATCTATAGAGAAGAAAAATTGTCAGGAAGATGTTTTTATTTTAATATGTGGCTGCACTTTCATAGGGCTTCCTTTGTGGCTCAGCTGGTAAAGAATCTGCTTGCAATGTGGGAGACTTGGGTTTGATCCCTGGGTTGGAAAGATCCTCTGGAAAAGGGAAAGGCTACCCACTCCAGTATTCTGGTCTAGAGAAGTCCATGGGGTCTCAAAGAGTTGGACATGAAATGGGAACTGAGTTGTCTTTTAAGTGCAAGAATTTATTTTAAAGGGCAAAGAAGGAAGCTTCACATTTCAGAAATTAACTTCTGTGTCCTTTCCAATCATCCCAGAAGTGGGACAATCCAGAAATATTCAATGTGAAGCTAGCTGACATTGCCGGGACTTCCGCAGGTCTGGTGCCTTTCAATGTTGGCTTATTTAGAGCCAAATCCTAGCTCTGTAAATTTCCTCTCCATAGATTTTCCATTGCTTTCTGGGAATTGAATTACTCTGAGTGACAGCCTCCTTGTCCAGTATGTTCAGTTCCTAGAAACCAGAGCTAATTAACATAGTTAAAATGCCCCAAGCCTGCAGTCATCTTTCCAGGGCAATGGATTCCAAATTTGATGAGCTCCTTTACAGGCTCATACATAATTTTAACTCTCTTGGTAGCACATTAATTGTCCACTTATAAATATCAAAATGTAGATACATAAATACATCATCACTATTTTGCTACGGCTAGAGGTCAACATCCAGATGCACACAGAGCTCTAGTTAATGATATTTTTACTGTACATGGCTTTATCCCTTCTCTGAAAACAAACATCAACACACACAGAATACAAATGAATCTTGATGAACACCTTGGTTTGAGCAACTTGGATCTCTTTCTTTGAAAGGCTCAATAAATCAAAATCAATGCTGCAGAAAAATATGTTTCCTGGGAATGTTGAGAGAGGAAAACAAATGGATAGATTTAAAATTATGTCCTAAGGAAGTTTAAATCAAGAGACATGTAAAGTCACATGGCATGAGTATGTGTTTAATCACCTACCTATCCAAGCTCCCAACTCTGGCGACTAGATACAGGAGACTTCCAACGGCAAGGCTTCCCAGCACCAGGAGCTTCTGTCTCAGCCACGCCTGCTGTTTGAATAGCATGGCCCTCCATCAAACTTCAGGACTCCTGCAGCCTGAGAGATGGGGATAGAAGGGGACTCATCAGAAGTCATCTCTTCCTGGCTCTGTGGACTGTCACAAAGCCCTGCAGGGGTGGGAATACAGGGATTGAGTGATGTCACACAAAGAGCAGATGCCCCATCAACCTCAACAATGTTCATGGGACAACAGGTATTTTGGCAAAACTTACTTTCCTTCTCTTGGCCTGTGTTTTAAGATCAAAACTAAACTAGAAGCAAGATACTAACTAGAAGGACTTGCTGGGCAATTGTCAAAGTAAGTTAAAATGCAAAAATCATTATATATATATATATACATATATATATATAGTTGTTGTTAATCATTCAAAAATATTGATAAAATGAGCAACTGAACAACCTGAGGTTGAGCAGCAGGGCAACCAGGGAACTGAAGGTTCTATTTCGGTATAGTGGGATGAATGTGGAAATTGGGATCCTCCCTCAGTAAGTTATCATTTGGGGATAACAATGACATGTTTTACTGACATGTTTTTTGTTTTTTTTTTTTTTCAGTTGTGAAAGGAGGAAGAGGGTGAGATCAAAAGCTATGTCTTGGGACTTCCCTGGCAGTCCAGTCAGGACTCTGGGTTTCCAATGCAAGGGGTGCAGGTTCGATCCCTGGTTGGGAAACTGGGACCCCACAGGCTGAGTGGTACAGCCAAAATTTTTTTAAAAATAAAAAAAAAATTTAAGAAGCTATGTCTTTACTTACTGAGGTTATCAGTGGGAACTGTCAGGACCTCAAATGTTTGGGGACAGTGGCTCCAAGTAACTTGATGTTTCCCTTCATTGCCTCTGCCCAGACCTGGGTTGGAGTGACAGATTCTAAAATCATGCTCAGACTAGAAGCCCCTGCTACGTGACCCCCTCATGGCTCTCAATGAATTTAAATATGGTTGGTCTTACAGGTCTTGCTCTAACACCAAGACAGGAGCTTACATGGAAGCTTTGTTTTCTTATATCTGAAACAGGGCTGCCTGAGGAGAGTAAGGCTTTATCAGTGCTGTTATTAAATTTTGGGGAAAAAATTCAAGCTTCCAATTCAGGCTTTCTTATTAAAAATAAATCCAATTCCCTTTTCAAGATAAGATTGTTTGCTTCTCACTGAAACTCAAAATAGTAACCCCAGAAGAGGGACTACAGCAATGTGTCATGGTGAGAAACTGGTTTGCTGCTATAGTCTCTCTGTATTTGCTAAGTGAAGATTTTCTTTGTGCAAAAGGATTATACCTGGATTGACTGCTTGATTTATTCATCCATCAAGAAATACTGAGCACTGATAGCCTTCCCAGCTTTTCTACCAGGTTTATGGGGAATTCCAAAAAAGATCTTGAATGAGTCTTAGCCCTTGGAAAATTAGTAATGTGATTAAGGAATCATGAAACACCTCACTCACAATAATGTATGAATAAATGTTGGGGAAAATGGAGGGAATGTTCAGGTATGTGCCTTTGAGGAAGTGCATGACTTGGTGAGGAGGCTGTAGGAGGGCATCCCAAGAGGGAGAGGGAAAAGAAGCATTCATCCAACACACAGTCCACAAATATTTATTGGAAACAACTTATGAGCTACATTCTGCCCTGGAGGCCGTGGCCAACATGGGAGGTGACAGTCTAGTGGAGAAGAGAGAAACACCTCCAGTGAATGTAGGAGTCGCAAGTACCTTCAGACTGTAATAACAGAAGGAAAGGAAAAGTGCAGTGGGGAAGAACAATAGGGGGAAGCTACTTCAGTCCTTCCTAAAGAAGGGACTTGGCTTATACCTGGAGCATGAGGACAGAGGACGGCAGGAGGGCAAGGAGGTGGGCTTCAGCCGGAGGACCCAGCGTGCAGTGTGGAGGAAAAATGGGCAGCTGGTTTGAGAAGGGAAGAAAGGTTGGCGTGGCTGGACACAGGAACTGAGGGGACAGGAGAAAGGGCTGAGGGCACAAGTGAAGAGGAGGTGTTCAGAAGGGTCTTTGCAGGGCCTGGGTGAGTTCAGGGTTCTGGCTTTGCATGGCCTGCCTTGTATGTTGGCAAAATGGGGAAGCAAAGGGAAAGAGTAGATGAGATTTGATGAGACCTGCTATGTGACAAGAATATCGTCACATATTTAGGAAGGTGGTATTTCAGGAAACTGTCAGAAAAATCCTGTGAGGCAGATACAGCTATTTCCATTTCACAAACAGGAGAAGTGAAGCACAGACAGTTTTCTGTAACTTGCCTGTGATCACACAACGGACAGGCAATGTGGAGGCAGAGGCGGTGACTTACGTTGCATAACTCAGGGCTTCACTGAAAAAATGTTTTCTCTCTCTGGGTTGATGTCTGAAGCCCTCAATTAAGTGGTTACCTGCCTTCAGCACAGGATTCCTGTCAAAATGCAAATACTGCAGTAATATGTGGAACTGGGTGGCGGAAAGAAACCTGTGCTCAAGTGTCCTGGTTAAGTTCTTCCCTGAGGGAGACTCTAGTGGCTGGCTGCTCATATTCCCTGAACCTTTGTTCCTTCTCTATAAAATGGGAATTTCAGGAAAAAAACATCTATCTCTGTTTCATCGACTACACTGAAGTCTTTCACTGTGTGGATTATGACAAATTGTGGAAAGCTCTTACAAAGATGGGAATACCAGACCAGCTTACCTGTCTCCTGAGAAATCTGTATGTGGGTCAAGAGGCAGCAGTTAGAACCCTGTATGGAACAACTGATTGGTTCAAGATTGAGAAAGGAGTATGACATGGCTGTCTGCTGTCACCCTGTTTGTTTAACCTATACGCTGAGCACATCAGGAGAAATGCCAGGCTGCATGAGTTACAAACTGGAATCAAGATAGGTGGGAGAAACATCAACAACCTCCGATATGTGGATGATGCCACTCTAATGGCAGAAAGTGAAAAGGAGTTAAAGAGCCTCTTGACAAGGGTGAAGGAGGAGAGTAAAAGAGCTGTCTTAAGACTAAATACTAAAGAAAACCAAGTCATGGCGTCCAGCCCCATTACTGCATGGCAAATAGAAAGGGAAAAGGTGGAAGCAGTGATAGATTTTCTCTTCTTGGACTCCAAAATCACTGCGGATGGTGATGGCAGCCATGAGATCAGAAGACAACTCCTTCTTGGCAGGAAAGCGATGAAAAAACCTAGACTGTGTTGAAAAGCAGAGACATTACTCTGCTGACAAATGTCCATATAGTCAAGGCTATAGTCTTCCCAGTGGTCACGTATGGTTGTGGGAGCTGGACTGTAAAGAAGGCAGAACGCCAAAGAATTGATGCCTTCGAACTGTGGTGCTGGACTCCTGAGGGTCCCTTGGACAGCAAGGGGATCAAACCAGTCAATCTTAAGGGAAATCAACCCTGAATATTCACTGGAAGGACTGATGCTGAAGCTGAAGCTCCAGTATTTTGGTCATCTGATGTGAACAGATGACGCATTGAAAAAGCACCTAATGCTGGGAAAGACTGAGGACAGAAGGAGAAGAGGGCATCAGAGGATGAGATGGCTGGATGGCATCATTGATGCAATGAACATGAACTTGGGCAAACTCCAAGAGATGGTGAGGGACAGGGAGGCCTGGCCTGCTGCAGTCCTTGGGGTCGCAGCGAGTCAGACAGGACTGGGCAACTGAACAACAACAACAACAACAAAACGAGACCAGTCTCTAACTTCCCCACTCCTTAGGGCTATAATGAGAATGAAATAAGTTTTCTACAAGTGACATCACTACACAAAGGCCAGACTCACATAAGGGATTATGTGTCATTGTGTGTGCATGCGTGCTAAGTTCCTTCAGTCATGTCTGACTCCTTGTGACCCTATGGACTGTAGCCCACCAGACTCCTCTGTCCATGGAATTACTGTGGAGTGGGTTGCCATGCCCTCTTCCAGGGGATCTTCCAGATCCAGGGATCGAATCTGCGTCTCCTGTGGCTCCTGCATTACAGGAGGATTCCTTACTGCTGAGCCACTGCGGAAGCCCATGTGTTATTGTAGCTTAGTGTAAATGAATTTACTGTGTGCTTACAAACAGTATGACAGGGTAAAAGCTATGAGGCGGTTGAAGAGGGATGGCTACAAATGGGAGAGGTGAGAAAAGCAAAGGTGAAATGTGCTTGCCTGTGGCCTCAACAAAGGTCACCAGCCGCGCACAGAGGAGCAACTTGGAAGCACTTGGCCTCCTCTGCTACCTAAGTGTAGCACCCACTGTTGTTGTTGTTTAGTTGATAAGTTGTGTCTCACGCTTTTGCAACCCCATGGACTAGAGCCCTCCAGGCTCCTCTGTCCATAGGATTTTCCAGGCAAGAATACTGGAGTAGGTTGCCATTTCCTTCTCCATCTTTTTGTAATCACTCAGATTATGTGCTAAGAGTATCAGAGCAGCCTCAGAATAAACCATGTTCAATAAAAACCAGACACCTAGTACATTTAACATTCAAGATGCCTCTGTGGTTTTCTATGACATCATGAAGTGCTCAAGCCTGTGCCATGATGGAGTCTTAAAAGCTGGGAGCTGCAGGTCTTGGTCCAGGAGTACAAGTCGGAGAGAAGATGCGCCACCTGATCCTTACAGACAATGCCATTAAACTGGGGAGAAGGTTAACTGCTTCTCCAATCCTCTAAATCCCTTCCCTTTAGCTCTGTATGCCAGCTTAATGGATAGTTTAATAATCTTTCATCAGAGCACTCACACTGGTAATAGGCAATTTATATAAAATTAAAGTTTTAAAAAATTTATTATCTCTTTTTATTAAAAAAAAAAGTTAAAGACCTACAGTGACATTTAAGTACTCCTTTATCTCCAGTTTTCAATCTCCCAGTGTCTTTCATTTTGCATGCCAAGAACATCACAATTATAGTTTCTCCAGACTACAAATGGTTTAATAGACATGGTATCATAGCTGAACAAAGAAGAGTACCTAAATAACAGAGTATGTGGCCAGAAATGACAAACTGTAGAGACATCTGGCTGCTTCTCCAAAGCAGCACTAAGCAAAGAAGGAAATGATTCCCAAGCTCACACAAAGAAATAAGGGAATTCAAAAAAAGTAATAATAAAGATACGCTCAAGTGGTGTTCAAAGGCTCGTAGACATAGTTACCGCAAGCCCCTGGTGCTAGTAAAAATGGTAACAAAAAACAACAGCAGTAAAGTTCATTAAAAATGACTGAACTTACAGACTAGAATTATTTCAAGGAAATTTTAACTGTCTTTGGAGTATTGGTTTATTTATTCAGGGCAATAGCCTTATGGGGTGGACAGGAACCACACTTATTCTTTCTTTTTATTAAGTTGTATTTTTTTTATTAATTCACTTTATTGGAGTATAATTGTTCCACAGTGTTATGTTAGTTTCTGCTGTACAGTGAAGTTAATCAGCTATGTTTGTGTGTATTCTGTCACTGAGTTATGTCTGACTCTTTGCAACCCCATAGACTGTAGCATGCCAGGCTTCTTTGTCCATGGGGTTCTCCAGGTAAGAATACTGGAGTGGATTGCCATTTCCCTCTCCAGGGGATCTTCTGGAATCAGGGATTGAACCCCTGTCTCCCGCATTGGCAGGCGGATTCTTTACCACTAAGTCACCAGGGATATGTATACACATATCCCCTCCCTCTTGAACTTCCTCCCACACCCCGCCGCATCCCACCTGTCTAGGTCCTTCAGAGCACCAGCGGAGCTCCCTAGGTTATACTTTCCACCAGCTATCTGTTCACACACGGTCGTGTAGATACGTCCGTGCTACTCTCAGTTCTGCCCACCCTCTCCCCCTGCTCTGTCCTTAAGTCCGAGGAACAACATTTATTGAGCCTTAATCTCTGTGTTTCTTTCACATTTATTATCTCGTGTAATGCAACAGGCCTGTGAAGTATTATTCATTCTATTTTTTTCTGATGGAAACTGAGCAGAGAGATGAACAAATTATTTACCCAAGGGCATATGGCTGGTAAATACAGGAGGATTTAAATTCAAAATTCTCTGATCTCAAAGAACATGACCCCTTGATTGCAGTGTCTCTCCCTCAGCTTTGGATGCTCACCTGAGAGCCTCCCTTTTTTGCTTGCTTTTTTATTAAAATTTTCTTCCTGCTTTATTGAGATGTAATTGACATAGAGCATAGCATAAGTTTAAGGTGTACAACATAATGATTTGCCTGACATCTATCATGAAATGATTATCACAGTATATTTAGTGACCACCCATCAGCTCACAGATACAAAATAAAAGAAAAAGAAAAAATATGTTTTCCTTGTGATGAGAATGCAACAACTTTCATATATAATGTACAACAGTATTATTACATTTATCATGTTGTACATTATACCCCTAGTACTTATTTATGTTAGAACTGGAAGTTTGTACCTTTTGACCATTTTCATCCAATTCCTGCCCCTCACACCCAACCCCTGCCTCTGGTACCACAAATCTGATCTCTCTTTCCGTGAGTTTGCATGTATACTTATTTTTTGAAGCATAATTGACCTACAACACTATGTTGTTCCTAATGCACAATACAGTGACTTGATATGTCTATACATTTAGAAATGATCACCACTGGGAAACTCTTAGTAAATGCTTGTTTACTGACTGATGAGAGCAGATAAATCCACTTTCAACTCACCCCAAATTTCCTTCCATTGTATCTTGAAGTAGAAGATGAGGAGGTGAAAACCAAAAGAGGAAAATGCTTTTATGAAGGGGTAAATAAAAAGGGCTACTTATGCAGCTTCAATCTAATAAAAGGAAGAAAAATATTAATAAATAATGATAATGAAGGTAATATTTTTATAGTTTACAAAGTATTTTTCATATTCAGTAAACTGTTTATGATTAAAACCAACCAGAATCATAGGAACTCCACTTATTTTCCCAATAATTCAAAAATGGACTCTCCTTTTGAAAGATTTTATAGTAGATGATCAAAATAGCTGGTTCTGTCACTCAGTTCAGACTCTCATGTTCTGTTCTCTGTAAGATCTTGGTCAGATCTGTTCATTGTCCTCTCATTGTCACCCTGTCTCATCTTTCCTCCCCCTGCTCTTCTGCACACAGCCCTACTCAGCGAATGGGGCCTCATCTGCTGACGGGATTGCCCAGCCCAGAAACCTTGAAATCCATCATCTTTGGCTCTATCCTACCAGTAAAATTCTATCTCCAAAGTACTATTAGGATCTACCTACTTCACACTGTCATCTGTGACTGCCTTGGCACAGGCCACACACTCTCTCTCAGATTTTATACGCTCCTAACTGGTCTCCCCACTATTAGTTTTGTTTCTGCCTCAATTTATTCTCCATATTGAAGACAGAACAGTCTTTCCAAACAGAAATTTGATCATATCACCTTCAGGCTTAATACTCTAATAGGTCCCTATTATCCACAGAGTTTTAAAGGCCTTTTTTACCTTTTCCACCACAATTCCTCACCAACATGAGCTCTCCCCAGTATGGGCATGTGCAGACTTCAGCATACAGAACAGCTTGCAGTTCTTTTGAATAGATCATGGTCAGTTTTGCATCAGGGCCTTTGCACAGGAGGTTTCCAGAGCCTGAAAACAGTAGCTGTGCCTCCTACCAGTGGCCCCTCTATCGGGTCTGGGGCACCAACCAATAGTGTCCCAGTAGGATAATGATAGCAGCAGAGAACTTCTGTGGGGGGCAAAGGAGTATGGAGAGTAATCAGAACACTGTTTGGCACAGCATAATACTCAATAAGCATTAGCCACACATACTGATGCTGACTTCTCTCCAGGTCCTGGATTAATTCCTATCTTTTGGATCTTAGGCTCCTTGGGAAGGTTGGCTTACAGGTTCCTTCTATGTGCAGCATCCTTTATTTAATTCTATTGAAACCAAACTTTAATTGCTTGTGTACTGTGTGTCCCTCTAACCAGAATGTAACTTCCATGAGATGAATGACTGTGCCTTGTTCATTATTTTATCACCAGCACTTTAAGGGTCAGTGATACTCAGAAAATAATTACTAAGCAACTGAATCAGCTAGATGGAATGAACTCTGACTATCTTAACAGCTATGGTATCTAGATACCACATCTCTTTAAGTAGGTAATAGTAGTTTATCTCTGTATAGTGCTTTGCAGGTTCATATATGCTATATGCCTATAATAACCTAATTTCCCCCAGTTTTTTATTTTGAAAAAGAGTTTTGAGTGCTTACAAATCCTTCATCTAGATTTACCAGTTGTTGAATTTTGACATTTGCTTTATCTTTCTTTATAGAAACATGTATTATTTTTATCAAATCATTTGAGAGTAAGTGGCAGATTATCAACATTTCAGGATGCTAGAAGATCCCAACCTGAATTCACACAAAGTCTTGTGATACAAGTGGGGCAGTGGGCATTCTTGGGCCCCAGGAAGTGAAATGATCTGCTCAAAGCCTCAAACTATTAAGCCTGGAGTTGCTAACTTCTAGTTTCGAGCTTTTTAATACTCTACAACTCTGCCTCCCTATTAAGTTCATTTACTATTGAAAATGTTATAATAGAGTTTATTAGTAGAAATAGATATATCATTTATCTTAAACATTCAACTTGTACATTCTAATGACTTAGGTATCAAAAAAAAAAAATTGGAAAAGTGGCAAATGAGAAAATTTTCTAAGGAGATTTCTTGTCCTGTCTTCTATTTTACTTTTCTTTTCTCAATTCTTTTAAAGAAATAAAAATGGAGAAAGTTCTTTTTATACAACGTGAATAGTGGCAGCATCTGATGATGCCCACCCATTGGAGGGCTGGAGCTGGCTCACACTTTGCAAGCCAGTTGTTAAAGCCTTGATTAAGAACTATATCACAGAAATTCACAGTTAAAGAAATTAAGAAACAAAGGCAATAAATATAAAAAACATTATTTCCTAATTATTGTACTATTTTTACTATTACCTGTGCTCTTGAAATTAAGTTTATTATACAGTGGAGATACTACTGTGCAATAGTATCTCTGTGCAATTAGGTCTCTTCCTAATTCCACACTTAGTGAATTCATGTGGATAGTTTAAACTTGGCCATGGAGGGAGGATTTACACAACTGATACTGACAAACATTACAGACCATCCCCTCTCCCCAAGAGCAGGTTGCACACTACTAATTAGGTCCCATTCATTTGCCCTTTTATGAATTCATTAATCACATGTTTTTTGAGTACCCACTGAGTGTGTTGTATGCTGCCAAGAGCTGTCAGGGAAAAGGAGACTGTACCTATCCATCTCCTCCCCTTTTTTAGCCTCCTCCTCCATTCTCCTCCCTTTCTAAAGAGGCATATATTCATTTGGAGGCCCCAGTAATCCCTTTTTTCTATTTACACTTTTTTAGGTCTTTTCTCCTCAGCTTTCTGTGCCTCCTTCCAGTTTCTCTCTGCATCTGCTGCTATGTTCTTTAAATAACAGAGCTTAAGAAGAAAGAATGCGGTGCTGGTTCTCTTATCATTGATAACAAAAGTACAACTACACGTCTTCAAAAAACCTCCCAAGTATTTAATAAATCTGTAAAATAATTTATAATTGATTTGCATGCAAGATGATTCTAAAAGCCTTCATTCTTGGGCAGGCTAACATTTTCTTAAATAATGGTATTATTAACGTGCTTATTTTCCTGGGTTCTAAAATCATCGCAGATGGTGACTGCAGCCATGAAATTAAAAGATGCTTGCTTCTTCGAAGAAAAACTATGACCAACCTAGACAGCATATTAAAAAGCAGATACATTACTTTGCCAACAAAAGCCCATCTAGTCAAAGCTATGGTTTTTCCAGTAGTCATGTATGTGAGAGTTATGAGTCTCATGTGAGAGTTGGACCATAAAGAAAGCTGAGTGCCAAGGAATTGAAGCTTTTGAACTGTGGTGTTGGAGAAGACTCTTGAGAGTCCCTTGGACTGCAAGGAGATCCAATCAGTCAATCCTAAAGGAAATCAGTCCTGAATGTTCACTGGAAGGACTGATGCTGAAGCTGAAATTCCAGTCATTTGGCCACCTGCTGTGAAGAACTGACTCATTTGAAAAGACCCTGATGCTGGGAAAGATTGAAGGCAGGAGGAGAAGGGGATGACAGAGGATGAGATGGTTGGATGGCATCACCGACTCAATGGACATGAGTTCGAGTAAACTCCTGGAGTTGGTGATGGACAGGGAGGCCTGGTGCACTGCAGTCCATGGGGTTGCAAAGAGTTGGACATGACTGAGCAACTGAACTGAACTGAATGTGCTTCAAAGCACTGCTCTTTTTATTACCTGAGACTCCTTTTTTTTTTTTTTCTGAATTGCAGATCTTTCTTTCAGGACCAGAAGGGCTCTACCAAATTCTGACCTCAAGATAACTGCCTACATTACCATTCATCAACAAATGTATGCTCAGTGCCTGCCATGTGCCAGGGACTGAAGATGCCAGGAATGATGTGGGGACCCATATCCTGCTTTATTCCTCTCATCATCTTCCTGCATTCAAAGTCAACTCTTTTACAAGCACAAGGAAACTGTATCTTTCCTTACACACAGAGCTCTGATCCTCTTGCACTGGCAGTGAAGGAAGAATCCTCACAGGGAGAGGGTCTACTGGACCTCGGAGTCTCATCCCTTGGCCCTAAGACCCACTCCTCTCGGATGGTCCTTGCCTTCGACCCAAGTAGCCACAGTCAGACTTCTCTCTAAATACACCAGTCTTCTCTTAACAAGACTCTTCTCTTCAAGATGTCCTTCAAGTGAAGACTTTGTTGGGGATGTTTAGACCACAATTTGTCAAGGGAACAACTCGCTGCTAGACCGGGCTACCTCTTGGGTGTGTGACCTGTGTATTTGCAGGGCTCTGTGTCCAGAAGGGCCCAATGCTTGAATTAATTTTCTGCTGTCGCTGTCTTGACATTATTCTCTTTTTTTTGGTCTTGAAATTCTTAATAATTTTTGAACAAGAAATCTACTTTCATTTTGCAGTGGGTCCCACAAATTATGTGTACAGTCCTGCCACCAGACCCTCGGGCCTTCAGAGAACGGATTACTTGTGTGTAAGCTGTGGGTCTTCACAGTGGTGCCTCCTATTCCAGGCACTTGGCTTTTAGAGAGACACTGTCTTAACACCATCACGTAGGAACACAGTCCTTCACATCTTGTTACAGCACTGGGATTCCCCTCCTCTTTATTTCTCTCAGTTCTGTGGTCCTCCCTGAGGCCCATCTCCTTCTTGGGTACCCAACCCTGGGAATTGTGTCTTCCTTCAGAAACAAGGTAGCTATATACAAAGCCTTACAATCCTAAGTACAATGTCGCTAGGTTTAGTGTGTGACACACAAGAATAATGTGGTCACACACACACACACACACACACACACATACACACACATGCTCCAGCAGAGGGAATCCATTACAACAGATCAGTGGGAGGAAATCCTGTGAAGTGAAAAGGGCAGTATTATCATCCCGATCATGCAGATAAGAAAACGCAGAGACTCAGAACTACAGAATCTGCTCTTATTGGAGGGCAGAAAAATGTCTCCTCCCCTCGCTGCTCCCTTTAAAGTAAAATAAAACAGGAAGCTTGAACTATATTGCTCACCTGCTTTGTGATCTTGGGTTAGTTACTTACCCTCCCTGTTCTTCTATTTTTCCTCCCAAGAAAAACAGGCTTGGAAAAGCCTTTAACAATCCCTTCTGGGTCTAAACTCCTACACTAAGGGATTCCATCAGATTAGCAATAAATAAGTGATCTTATCATGAAACACTAACAG